TTTTTTTTTTTTTTTTTTTTTTTTTTTTTTTTTTTTTTTTTTTTTTTTCTCATCTCTTGTCTCCTGTGAAATGTGTACAATGTCAACATCAACTCCTTACACCAAAACGTGAAAGGCTACTCATCTTTCTCTGGCGTAAATGGGAGGTCCGAGCTTTACTCAACGGGAAAAAAACACAATAGCATCTAAATTTCCATCGCTAACGTCTACGGGGAAAAAATATAGAAAGAAAGGGAAGAAAAATAAAGGGAATCCTTAGATCTCACGTGATAATAGAATTGTTAAGTTTTATCAAAGCTGTTCTCTTTTGTGGTAATATTCTTTGATTAAATGTTCACGGTATGCTTTGGGGCTTTATTTAAAGGAAATGGAATAATATTTTTTCATACACTATTTAACATTCTTAAAATTTGCTTATTATTCCGCTGTACGCGTTTACAAGGCAAATTATAGTAAGAAAAAAAATGCTATGTATGCATGCATGCAGGTTTCCTGAAAACAAGTTCAAAAGAGAGCTCGCAGGGCAACTACGGGCTCATGGACCTTGTGGCTGGGGTTCATTGGCTGAGAGAAAATTTGCCAGCTTTTGGTGGCGATCCGAATCGAATAACTCTCATGGGCCACGGCACTGGAGCTGCTCTTGCCAACTTTCTCGCTGTTTCTCCCATGTCTAAAGGTAATAAATATTATCGCTCACTTACACATTGGTGGCCGCCGCCTCCTAATGTGGTGTACACAAAAACAAACATCGTGTTTTCATTACTTTTTAATAAAGAATCAAGAATTAAAGGCTTTGCAATTTTGCGAGAGGAAAAAAAGAAAATTCCGAGCACACATAATATGTATGTACATATAATGAATGGATTTGAAAAGTTTCAAATAAAATTTGACTGTATTTATAAAGGTCCTTGAAATTAAACCGTAATTAAAGTGGAATAACGAAAGGCTAGATACCTATATAAGACGAATAAAGAAAAAAGGAAGCACGTACGGGGGTTAGGCTAGATATTTATGTATTTATAGGTGTATACTTACTATTGCCTCAGCAGAGACTGCAGGCCGAGGTTAAGAATAAAAAGAGAGCATGTAACGGTAAAGGTATATATATTTATAAGTACGTACCTAGAGTGGTGCTACTGGTGCTTGCACATGTCCCTTACACACAGCCATCGGTCCTTAACAAGCTTCCTCAAGTAGGTTGGTTGAGCTCTCTCTCTCTCTCTCTCTCTCCCCGACGTGGTAGCTCTGCTTTCCGCTAACAACCTCCTTCCTCGTGGCCTGGATTGCCGGTCCGCCTGCTTTTGACCCTGCCATTTCGCTAACGAATCTTCTGTGCTGTACCTACTGATGCCTGCTCCTGGTGCAGTTATAGATGCGGCTGATGTCCTCTTCTCTCTTTATACACTGTGTGCTCGTGTTTGTACTGATGAGAACATGATAAGAGCACTGCTGCCACGCGCCGTGGGGTCTTTCGTTAGCTTTCGTCCGAATCCATGTGCGTACTGGCTAACATGGCCAGAGACAGAGACTGCTGGCTACTACTGTACAGTTGTACCCGCTCAAATACACGCGAGAGTTTATGAGAGATGTAACTTACCTACTTGTACCTGTATAACTCTCAATACTTATTTGCGCGCAACTCCATCATCTGATCATCACCTATCACCGTCTTTCTCTATGAGTACCTTACCTACATGTGTGTGTGTGTGTGTGTGTGCGCGTGCATCCTACCATACAAACTTGTAAACTCGTCTCGTGTAGTCCATATAAGCGCGACCGGCGACGCGCGTGTGCCAATTCTCTGCGCCTGAACCCTAAACACGTACTAACACGTCCGCGGCGCGCGCACGGCGCACTCTGCATCTCTGTAATAAGATGATGCGTAGATACGTGGTGTTTATTATTATTATTATTATTATTATTATTGTGTGTAGAGTATTCGATTAAATTTCGTTTGCATTCGTCAAAATTCACGTGAAAAATCTCCAAGCTCATATTTTAGTACACAATTTGAAGTATGCCATTATTATTGTTACTTTGGGTTATGTAACTGTCATTAATGTCCAAATCGGTTTTTTTTAATTTTTTTTATTTCAATAATAATTAAATACACCAACGTTGTATTGATATTAGAAAAACAGCAACGAAGCATTGTAAAGATACTGGCTGAATGAAGAAAAAAAGGTACCTACGAAAAATAACAGTCGACTGTTTATTAAATTTTAATATATGAAAGAAAGTTTAGTGTAGAAACGAGTAAATGCAAAAACTTTTCATTTATTTTCAGAAATCCTGTGGAGCAAAGGATTTCTTTTGTTTTTTCTTGCTTATCACTCATACCCTCGATCTATCGATATTTATCGAAAAATGATAAATCAATGCACACACGTACACAATGTACTGCAGTACCTATATAAAAAGTACGAATTCAAATAACTAATGAAAACTTGAAATTAGGCAATTGCGCTAAAACCAGTGTTGGTTATCTTGACGAACACACATGTGAAAGAGAGTCAAGCGAAATAGAAATTCCACGCACGAAAATCCATCATATTTGAATAGAGTTACTCCATGTGCGGGCATATTTCAACCCCTTCTTTATCTTACAATAATCATATGCACATAATTTCAAGAGAATAATATAATTGTGAAAATGACATGTAAGTATAATTATATACTACAGCATATGCATGCATATACATATATATACCCACACCCATGCATGTAAATTATATAGTTACCTCAGAAGCGCAAGTCTTTGAAAGGAAGGAGGGAAGGAACCTTTTTGATGATAATATATATATATATATATAATTGTCCTACATTTATTGTCATCTGCTTTTATTTTTCTGAACCGGTGTATATAAAAGATATAAATCGCGACGTTGTATCAATGTTTTACAGTTTTTTTCCCGAGATGAGCGATACACGTAAAACTTATACGCAACGATAGCCAGTGAAACGTTGAAAATGACTGTTTACCTTTGAATCGCTGGACGGTTAATAAAAATTGTGAAACTCCTCGGAGGAAGAGTATAGAAAAACTTTGCGATGGAGGTAGTGACGGAGGGATAGTTTGCGCGTCGACTAATTACCGTGAAAATCCGTAGTTATGCTCGCACAATGGACCTAGCTTTTAATTTAATTACAAATCACCGATCCAGAGAATTTCTCTACCTCGTGGAAGTCAACACTCGTAAAAATAAAATGAAATTGTCCCCGTCCCCTTGACCATCATCGTCACCGTTGTAATTTATTACATTTACACGGACCCTCAAAAGGTAAATAATTAACACTCTTTGTATGAAGCGTATACCAAAGGTATATATATATATATATACGTGTGTAGTAGTCCTGTACCATAGTGTTTTCATTGAAGCCTCGATGAAAAAAATTTACAAATGCAGCCCATCATTATAGGTATTTTACCCCACGATCAATGAAAGGTAACTGATTGAATCGTTTTTCGAACTCAAAATTAAATTGACCGAGCAAAAAGTATCCCACACACGATGTATACGGATGCATACATGTAAATATTGACGTAACAATACTTTGGAACGAATTACACAAACGTGAAAAGAGGAGGAGAGAGAAAGAGAGCTATCCCTTAAAGTAATGCAATTATAATCGGTCGCAAGCGTAACAATTATTGCGATTTATTGTTATACATTGTTGATCAATATGATAAGTTTGGGCAACGAATATGTAACATTAAAACGTAATGCGAAAGAATGTTAGCCTCGTTAAGCCAATTGTGTCATTTTCAGGCTGCACTGCAGGCGAAGTGGAGAAGGAGGAGGAGGAGGAGGAGGAGGAGGAAGAAAATACCGAGGCGGAGCGGAAGCACCTACGGGAAATTCATCGACAAAAAACTAGGAGGAAAACAACAACAAGAACAACGGGGGTACGGAAGCAATGGGTACTGGTGCTATTGTTGTTGTTACTGTTGGTCAACGAGAACACCGAGGCCATCAAGTATAGCTCGCGGACTGTGTTTACGCGCTACGGTATGCTTCGAGGTATCGTAACGAGAACACCGACAGACTCCACGGTCGAAATCTACTTGGGGATAGCTTACGCGGCGCCACCGGTCGGCTCATTGAGATTCATGTCGCCCATCACACCTTCGTCCTGGACCCCCAAGACCCGAGTCGCCGACGTACCAGCGCCCATCTGTCCCCAGGTACTACCAAGACCCGAGCCCGACATGCCAGCCGCTCAGCGCACCTATCTCGCAAGGCTGTCGGCCCTCATGGCCAACCAGAGCGAGGACTGCCTCTACCTGAATCTGTACGTGCCCAGACCTCTGGCCCAACACCAACACCAGACTTCCGGTCCGTATACACACACATATATATATAATGAGATTAATGGGGCAGGGGCTCATTTGCACTTTATGTGGATATAGCTTGAATATATTACATTATTCTGTAGCCGAGACGAGGGCTCGCCGAAGCGCGAAAAATCAATATATATATATATATATGTGTATATATATATATGCTTATTGAGAAATTTGGGCTCAATTTTCTCCCGATCGTTTTTGCAACTCCTGTACCAAGTACATTCAACGATTGTTAAGTACAAAAAAAATTTACATGCCTCTATATAGACTTTATGCGAGAACAGAGGAGATTGGTGGGGCGGATGAAGAAAAAAACTATGAGAATGTTATTTGCGTAATTTATGCACGGGCGTAAATTTATCGGGCTCGATATTTTTGGGGAATTTGTTCAAGCGGCGTCCATTTGTTAGGCGTGAAAATAAATTGTTCGCGCGCGAGAACGTTGCAGGTTACTCATACACATGGGAACGAGCAAAGAATTTTTTTTTATAACCTGAACACGCCGAAGACAATAGTTGAGGTAAAAAACAACATCGTTGATGTTTTTCCCGTGCGGTGTTAAACATCAGGTATATTATATACTATAAATTAACGCAACTGCAAAATGATGTCAGATTGACAATAAAAAGTGTACAAAAGCACACCAAGAGTGTAACAGCCTAGGCATACGGACTCGTTGGTTGGCCCATATTTCAAAAAGTTGTTGGCGCTCTGCAGATGCATCCTCGGAGTCTCCGCGTTTCTCGCTTCGGGCGACAGCCCTCGTCCCTCCCTTTCTCTGATGCACACGCATACATACATGCACGTGTGTTGACAGAACCCGTGATAAAATTGACCGTTTTGTTTGTTACTAAATGTAACGACGCACCGTGCCCATTGTGCTATTGTTACAATGTTTGTTTTACGATTGCGCAATGATAACAACAATAATATAATGTATTATGGACGCGGCAAACGGTGACGGTTTAGGTATAAGAAGAAACGATTCAAAGGAATTAATTAAAAACAACGTATAAAAACGTATGGGGAACGATAAATATAACAAGAGGGAAAGAAAAATTTTGGGTGTATACCTAGACCAAATACCACTCCCTGTATACGTTTATTGTGTGTATATATATAATAGAGGAGAGAGGAGCTTTCAGGTCAGCAACACGAGCAAGGTGTGTCTATCTGTCGAAGAAGGGTGAGAAAGAGGCTCGTTGCCTCTTCAATTCCGTAGTGCATTGCAGTAGATTTAAAAGGAGATTCTGCAAGCACCGCGGGAGTGAGGGGGCTTCGTGTCGAATCATCGCAACCATCTTGAACCACCTCCGATAAATACATACCTGGCAGGCTATCTTTGTCTTTTCTCTCTCTTAATGTATTATCCCTCCCCATCTGCCCCTCTTTGGCTATTATATCGATTGATCGCTCGCCCACATAAGTTACTCAATTATGACGTAAATTGTTTTCCCTTTAAGCATTTGATTTAGTTTTTAACGTGTGCATTACACCGAAGTGTAATTAACCAAAAAATGCATTATTAAGCATATTATTGTGTGATACCCGCATGTAAGTATAGGTACATACTTTTACATCAACTGCATGTGCTAAAAGTATACACGAGTGGCATCCGGCGTCTGACCAAGCCGCGTACCTTTTCTACTAGCTTTGGCTCCGAGCGCTTGATGAACACACCACAATAATATCCAAGTACAACGCCAAAACGAGAGCTTTGCTTTACTTTTGCACGTCTTTTATTTAGGCTAAGATGGATACATTTTGTTGTTGTTGTCCCTCCTTATGTATTTATATTTACCTGCATATTTATACAAGGTATGTACAAATGCGAGCGGCTCCTTCAAATTATTCGGATGTAAGGAGCTCTACCCTGCACTCTGTGTGCGTGTGTGTGTGTGCATTGATTCATATTGTATATGTATATTTGTGTGCTGCTTTTTAGATAATTAAAGGATTCCGCGAGCGCGTTCAAAGATTTTTTTTTACATACCTATACAAATACAAGTAGTACGTACGTACCATGATATCTACAGTATGTATGAATGAAAATTGCATCCCTTGAGTTTCAAAAGAGATTCTTTATGTTCAGCTTAACAGTATAATGTGTATTTCAATTCATAAGGGTGCCAATGTCAGACTTGGACACGGATTCTATTTCGTAATGCATTATTTGCGGTAAATTTTTTTTTTTTTTTTTTTTTTTTCCCCCAATTCCTACTTACCAACAACGCAGTGCTCAACAAAATTTGTTCGCAGCGAAAACAACAACGTATCACAATTTGAAAGAAATAATAGTTTATAAAAAAAATAGTTAATAAATATTTTATTTTAAATAATCCCAAGGAAGGCACCTTAGTTCAAGGAAACTTTCTTTTCAAGTATTAATTAAAAATTTGATAAAATAATGGTGCACAAGACTGGCCAAATGAACGTGTGCATTTTTGTACTCGTAACTCTTGGGATTGTATGTAATTTTTGTTAAGCCAGATTTAATAACATGAAATGTTGGATAAAACAAATTGTAAAAGCTAAAAAATGTTCTCAACGTCACAGGTTCCTCGTCACCGGACCAACTGCCAGCCCTGCTGCTCATACACGGCGACTCTTACTCTTGGGGAGCTGGAAACACACTGGACGGTACAGCCCTCGCAGCTTACGGGCAAATCATCGTCGTAACTATCAACTTTCGCCTAGGTATTTTAGGTAAGCTGCACAATTGGCAATAATCATGGTAAATTTTTAGCGAATCGGTGCTCAAGCTTTAATTTTTTTTTTTTTTTTCATACCGAGTAGTGAATTTCAAAGTATGACAGGAAATGTCACGAGTTGCTGTGGTTTACGTGTATAGAAAACTAGCGCCGCTAATGGTCGTTTGATCTTAACAAATTGGAAATGATAAAGGCGCTGGTACGTGACGAACACCGTGTATATATATATATACACATTGCTCCCCAGTGTGCTGTTACATACGAGAAAAAAACTATGTATACATACACAACGGTACAACTTTATCCTCTCTGCTCGTACGGTATGATCATCTCGAATTTTCTCTTTTTAATCGGTTAAATTGACATGTGAGGTTTATCCGAAAATTGTGCGAGTATTGCGTTATTAAATAACTCGAAGTTACCGTTGTTTTTATTCAGCTCATATAAAGAAAAAAAATTAAAAAATTAAAAAAAGGAACGCAACATTTCGATACTTGTTGTTATCGTTGGTTTATTGCGGCGTGGAATAAAAATACATCCTAAGGCTCCGGAAACCGCATGAAGCAACATCAGCAACAACGCCCCATGTGTCTTTTGAATATAAATTTCTCATGTCAGACAAAAAAAAAGAGAGATGTAGCTGCAGTGTTGGTAAAATTTGAATAAAATTTACCGGCAAAAACTAGCAGATAGTCATCATCTTTGGCCATCAGATATTATACTTTGAGAAAACGAGCAAATATAAGATTCATGGGCAGGGAGTTTGCTCAGAGATCCCGTGTACTTGTTTATACACGCCTTGAAGCTTCTCACAAGCATAGCTCGATTTCCGAGAGGCTACTTACTTGAGAGAAAGTAAAGAAAAGGGAGGAAAAGAAAAAAAAAGGTTTTCAAAGTAGTACCAACGAGTGCCTCTATGTGGTACAAAGGGCACATAAAAGCGACTTGTAGGTATATGCACTACCGAGTCATTTTCGCGTGAAAGAAGCAAGTACATACTTAGAAAGTGTGGCAGGGGAGACAGAAATGAACGGGTTTTAATTATTCATCGCGCAGTAGCATGTGATTATGTATATGTATACACGTTGGCGATTGGCCGGAGAAAAACACTCTGCATGTACTTATCAGTTCTCTTTTGGAGTAGACTAGCTCGTCACGTGCGCCTTATTGTGCGTGGGCGTCGGATAATAAAAGTAGTGAGCTGGGAGGCAACAAAAAAAAAAAAAAAAAAAAAAACATGGCTGCGCTTTGAGGCACACCTAATAGTTTGGTGAATATTTCACCGCGCAATTATTAACCTGAATATGACGAAGATCGCGGTCTGCTGCTGTGTCAACTTTTTGCTCTTGGCAAACATGGTTTTTCATTTCACCTCTCCCATCGTCCTTTTGAATACATGTTCTATTTTTTTAATGTACGTGCGCTTTGGTTGATTTTTTTTTTTTTTTTTTTTTTTCTCATCTCTTGTCTCCTGTGAAATGTGTACAATGTCAACATCAACTCCTTACACCAAAACGTGAAAGGCTACTCATCTTTCTCTGGCGTAAATGGGAGGTCCGAGCTTTACTCAACGGGAAAAAAACACAATAGCATCTAAATTTCCATCGCTAACGTCTACGGGGAAAAAATATAGAAAGAAAGGGAAGAAAAATAAAGGGAATCCTTAGATCTCACGTGATAATAGAATTGTTAAGTTTTATCAAAGCTGTTCTCTTTTGTGGTAATATTCTTTGATTAAATGTTCACGGTATGCTTTGGGGCTTTATTTAAAGGAAATGGAATAATATTTTTTCATACACTATTTAACATTCTTAAAATTTGCTTATTATTCCGCTGTACGCGTTTACAAGGCAAATTATAGTAAGAAAAAAAATGCTATGTATGCATGCATGCAGGTTTCCTGAAAACAAGTTCAAAAGAGAGCTCGCAGGGCAACTACGGGCTCATGGACCTTGTGGCTGGGGTTCATTGGCTGAGAGAAAATTTGCCAGCTTTTGGTGGCGATCCGAATCGAATAACTCTCATGGGCCACGGCACTGGAGCTGCTCTTGCCAACTTTCTCGCTGTTTCTCCCATGTCTAAAGGTAATAAATATTATCGCTCACTTACACATTGGTGGCCGCCGCCTCCTAATGTGGTGTACACAAAAACAAACATCGTGTTTTCATTACTTTTTAATAAAGAATCAAGAATTAAAGGCTTTGCAATTTTGCGAGAGGAAAAAAAGAAAATTCCGAGCACACATAATATGTATGTACATATAATGAATGGATTTGAAAAGTTTCAAATAAAATTTGACTGTATTTATAAAGGTCCTTGAAATTAAACCGTAATTAAAGTGGAATAACGAAAGGCTAGATACCTATATAAGACGAATAAAGAAAAAAGGAAGCACGTACGGGGGTTAGGCTAGATATTTATGTATTTATAGGTGTATACTTACTATTGCCTCAGCAGAGACTGCAGGCCGAGGTTAAGAATAAAAAGAGAGCATGTAACGGTAAAGGTATATATATTTATAAGTACGTACCTAGAGTGGTGCTACTGGTGCTTGCACATGTCCCTTACACACAGCCATCGGTCCTTAACAAGCTTCCTCAAGTAGGTTGGTTGAGCTCTCTCTCTCTCTCTCTCTCTCCCCGACGTGGTAGCTCTGCTTTCCGCTAACAACCTCCTTCCTCGTGGCCTGGATTGCCGGTCCGCCTGCTTTTGACCCTGCCATTTCGCTAACGAATCTTCTGTGCTGTACCTACTGATGCCTGCTCCTGGTGCAGTTATAGATGCGGCTGATGTCCTCTTCTCTCTTTATACACTGTGTGCTCGTGTTTGTACTGATGAGAACATGATAAGAGCACTGCTGCCACGCGCCGTGGGGTCTTTCGTTAGCTTTCGTCCGAATCCATGTGCGTACTGGCTAACATGGCCAGAGACAGAGACTGCTGGCTACTACTGTACAGTTGTACCCGCTCAAATACACGCGAGAGTTTATGAGAGATGTAACTTACCTACTTGTACCTGTATAACTCTCAATACTTATTTGCGCGCAACTCCATCATCTGATCATCACCTATCACCGTCTTTCTCTATGAGTACCTTACCTACATGTGTGTGTGTGTGTGTGTGTGCGCGTGCATCCTACCATACAAACTTGTAAACTCGTCTCGTGTAGTCCATATAAGCGCGACCGGCGACGCGCGTGTGCCAATTCTCTGCGCCTGAACCCTAAACACGTACTAACACGTCCGCGGCGCGCGCACGGCGCACTCTGCATCTCTGTAATAAGATGATGCGTAGATACGTGGTGTTTATTATTATTATTATTATTATTATTATTATTATTATTATTATTATTATTATTA